CTCTCGACTCAAATAAAATACCAAAATGAAGATTTTTTTTTTTTAAATTTCATTTCACTTATCATCAAATTCCAATCCATACATTTATTTATTTAATCAGAAAAAAACCACGGGGACTAAATCCAACTTTGTGAGGCCTAAGTGGCCATCTTTTGTAGCAGTTGAAGTATGACAAATAGCATACAGATGAGTTGTCTTAATTGTTTTTTTTTTTTTTTAAAAAGGCTAGTTTGGTGGAAATTCTGCTTTATGAGTGTGAAGGTCCTTTGCAAATGCCAGATGGAGACCTTTTTTTTTTTTTTAGGTTAAAATTTTTAGCTGGGTAAGATTCAAGCATTATCATGCTCAATTCATAATAATTCTCCTCGAGATTTCATATTGAAGAAGTTATAATCCCTTCTAAAATTAACATTTTGGTTAAGTGAAAACTTTTATTGTGAACAAAAATCAGTTTTTAAGTAAATCATTTACTACCCATAATGTCATGAGAAAACATAAAAATAAAATATATACTTCCTCCGTTAATAAATGTAAAACATTTTTAATTAAATTTCACCTCTCAATAAAATAGTTGTTTACTTTTTAACTAACTTTATCTTTTTATATTTAACTCATATTAAACACCCTACAATAAATATAAAGTCATTATCAATAAGATACTTTAAAAAATAATAATAATTATATCTTAAAAATTAAAAATATTTTATATTTTTAAACATTTAATTTTTTAAAAAATATTTTTTATTTTTAAATGGTGACTATTTTTCTCATAACATTACATGACTAGTAAGAATCTAAACTTTTCAAGGGTATGGGGCTATGGGCAGAGTAGGGTGAAGCAGTCAACATCAACGTGAAGAGCATCTTGCTTTAGATAGAATATGCATAAAACTTAAAAGATATAGAAACCATGCCTCAGAGGGTAAAAGTTTTATAATAAAGAAAAGAAAAAGATGCATGGGGACATTTAATTAAAAAAAAAAAGATAAAGCAGAAAAAAAAAGGGCTTTAATTTGATCATTCCTCTACAAGTTGCATATTGATGCCTTTGTGGCCCAACAATGAATAATAATACATTTTTCGGTAAGGTTGAGCCCACTCAATTTGGCGTTTCCATATGTCCCCCCCCCCCCTAAATATAACTGTATGACTGAAAAAAAGATTCAAATCCAAATACCTCATTTAATGTAATGAAAGATTTTTTTTTTTAAATTGAAATTAGAATTGAAAAATGAAAAATATTAAAATAGAAAAAATGAATCTCGACTTAAAAAGTACATATAATATGCTAAATAAATAAATAAATAACTGTGTATATATATATATATATATTCATTTGATATGTACATTGAGTCTTGGCCAAAGTTGGCTTTGCATGGTTCCTGTTGCTGTCATTGGCATTGTCCCTAGTGTTCTTCTTCAATGTTGTAGGAACTTAAGAGAGAACAATGTTGTGAAATATGTGAATAGGGCTAAATGTGAGAGACAGATTAGTCCAGAAATATTTTAAGTGAGTGTAGAATTGTAAAAAAAATAATAATTATAGTTTCATGAAGGCCTAGTCACTTTCTTAGGCCTCATAAAAGGAACTGGATTGTGGCCATTTTAATGGAATAAAGAATAAAGGCCATAACGCCAAATAAGCCTAACACATGAATTCCACTCCCACACTTCCACTTTCTAATTTCTATGAACAAAATTCCAATGTGACAAACAGGGCAATATCGTCAATCTACTCTGATTTTATAGTGTGCTTTTTTTATCGGGCCACATTTGGAATTATATATCATAACAAATAAAATGAAATGAAAAAAATGAATAAATAAAATGATAAATGATAAATGATAAATGATAAATACATTTCCATTCAAAAGTGAAATAAAACTGTATCATGGATTTATGAATTAAAAAAATGATAAATAATGTTTTACCTTGGCCTTTGCCTCTCACCACTATCCAAGATTACGTTAGTTTTAGTTATGTGTGTGTGTATTAAACTTAAGAATTATTTAAGCATATAATCTCTTTGGTGGACTGTACAAGTGTGTATGGACCTCTCTTAAAAAGACTATGTTGTATTTTAATCCAAATTTAAATTTGGAGTAAATTATTAATTATTAACCAAATTTAAATATTTTTATTTAAATTTAAAATTTGTAATAAAATTCCATAATTAATAAATCATTAAGAAAGGTTTATAAAGATTTTCCCCCAGCAATATCGAAGATAATATGAAAATTCCTTATGGGCCTGCTAATGATAACCAGGTCCAATTGGGCTTTGTTACATATCCTTTTCTAATTGGGTCATAAGAAGGGCTTCGAAGCCCAAAACTAATAGAAGCATGAAGGCATAAGACATAGAGAGCACAGGTACTCTTGGTTTTTTTTTTTTTTTTTCCTCTTTTGGGGGACCATCCAAAGATATTTAGGAATTGAAGAAGTGCCTTTCCGGTGAGAGCCAAGACACATAATAATATTTTTTAAATAATTTAGAACTAATACTAACGTGTAGAAAATAGTTTATTGAAGAGTTTAAATTATTAATATTTTATTTATTTATTTGTTAAATGTGTATGAGACTCATCCATGATGCTATAAAATAGTTTAAACTACGTTAGTTTGAGTTGTCTCAAAATTACATATCCTTAATTTACTTTTTAAATAAGGAAAATAGCATCCAAGGCCACTATATCAAATTTATATCACATAAGAATCAAATGATTTGATATTTACTCTACAATTCTCTGGTCCTTCTTTTATATTAATTTTATAAACAAAATGATGAAATTGTCCTTCAAGTAGTTAAAAAAAAACCCCACTATGGCCAGTCGATGGTGAGGTTGTTAGAGTCCTTGTTGCTGATAGGGTTGTCGGCAGCTGTTTATCGAAGCTTTGATGCTGGCAACATTTTATTTGAGAAACAATTATTTTAGGTGGCTAAGTGAGGGTTTGATCTCATGACCCTTGGCCACTTGAAAAGCTTGGTGGCCACTAGGTCACTAAACCATTTAATTATATATATATATATATATATATAAAAGTCGTAAATCAAGCTTGTAACCATTTATATGTCATAACATAACAGTGTATTGTTAATTTTTAAATGAAACTTGTTATTTTATAAATGTTATTTGTTAATCTGACACATACAATTATAATTTGAGAGTTTTAAAACTTCACGCATTTGACTTGTTAAAAGTCTGAATATATTTTTGTTAATTACAAATAGGTTGTTATCAAAAACTAAATGAATACTTGTTAATAAATGACTAATACATACAATTAAGTCCTTTCTATTAGTTTTTCTAACTTGTTAAAACTATAATAGATTGTTGTTAATTTAAAATGAATTGTTGTCAAAATTTAAATGTACACTTATTGATGAAGGACTAACACATATAATTAACAAGAAGTTTTAACCACTATTATGTCATAACATAACGATGTGTTGTTAATTTCTAAACAGAACTTATCATTTTACAAATGTTGTTAATTTAGACCCGTGCTTTTAATCATCAACCACAAACATCTATTCGAGTTTTGACAACAATTCATTTTAAATTAACAACAGTCCATTCGAATTTTAACAGGCTAAAAATACATATAGGATTGACATAATTATATGTGTTAGTCTTTCATCAACAAGTATCTATTTAAATTCTGACAATAACTCATTCTAAATTAATAACAATCCATTAGACCTATGATCAACAAGTATACATTTAGATTTTTACAATAATTCATTCAAGATTAATAGCAATCTATTGTGGTTTTAATAAGTTAAAAAAACTAATAAGAAGGGCTAATTATACGTGTTAGTCATTTATTAACAAGTATCTGTTTGTTTTTTTTTTTGAAAACAATTTATTCGTGATTAACAATAATACATTTAGACTTTTAACAAGTCAAATGTTTGGACTTTTAAATCCTTCAATTTATAATTATCCATGCTAGATTAACAAGTAACATTTATAAAATAACAAATTTCTTTCAAAAATTAACAATTATTATGTTATTATATGAAAGTAGTTAGAAGCTTTGTTTACTACTTATATTTTTTTTCCCTACATGATTAAAGGGGTTGGTAGCTAAGGGTCACGGAATCAAATCCTCCTTTAATAATCTAAACTAATTATTTTTGAAATAAAATGTTATCGGTGTTGGAACTCTAGTGACCGATTGCTGGTGAACCCCTTGGTAGTAGGGGCTCCAATGACTTGTCTGCGACAGTAGGAGGTTTCTTTCTTTCTTTTTTTTTTTTTTTTCCTTTTTAACTTGAGGGGCACTTTGGACTTTTGACTTTAAAAATTAATATCAATCAAGGATCAAAGAATTGCAATGCAAATTTGAAGTCAATTAATCATTAATTGATATTAATTTCTCTTAACAGTCCTTGGATGCTATTTTTCCTTTTAAATATTACATGTGGGTCTTTATTGTATAGTCTTGACATGATCCTTGAAAGTACACAATAATTTCAATATCTACATTTATTAATTTCATAATAATATATCATATAAGCATATAATTCTTTAAAGTATCAAGTATGTTTACGGCATTAGATTAAGCTGTGATATTTGAAAGTGGCTTCTCTTCATTTAGTGGAAAGATAATTGCAACCATGAATCGTTGAATTGAATTTGATAATTTATTAGATTTGATAGTTTTTAAAAATTTAGCATTGTAGTGTAGGCGCGGTGTTCATGTTCATATGATATTCAGCATCCGCTCTCACGCCATAATCAGTAATAAGAAGCTCTAAAATTAATTCTTTTGAAAAAAAAAAAATCTACACCGCTAAATATATGATTTACTCATCTGTTTCTTCAAATCCTTGTATTGGATGTTTTAGGCTGTTTTGTTTATTTGTTTTTTCAAAATCTGTATTGTGCCATTTCATTGGTAGTTACTGGCAGATAAAAGTTGCATAACAATGCCAAGTTTCAATTCAAGTCTTAATTGCATTTAGAAACCATTACGTACCCAATGAAAACATGGTAGCAGAAAACTTGCTAGCAAGTTGAAGAAGATAATATATATGCGATTTAACTCAGGCTTTACAAAATTAGAAATGATTTGGGGCTAAAAGGAGGCAATATAAACTGGCTTAGGGATGTCTAAGTGAGATGTATTTTTACATAGAAAAAAAAAAAAAAGAGATTGAAGAAAGAGGATTTGACTGATTTGATTCTTCACAGAGTAGGAGCTCTCTCAGCAGAACCAGCAATGACAGTGAGCAAATTGTTGCCAAAAGGATCGCTGAGATGTTTGGCAAGGTTCTCAACTGGACCTTCTCCTGTTATGTATGCTTGGAAGTAGAACCCTAGCATTGCAAACATGGCAAGCCTTCCATTCTTTATCTCCTTCACTTTTAGCAGTGCTGCTTGGTCCGGGTCCTTTGCTAGCCCCAGTGGGTCGAATGGACCGCCCGGATGAAGCTTGTCCTCCAAATCCTGCCCCGAAAGAAACAAAAAGCCACAATAAATCCATCAAATGATTCACTTTTATTCACTGCTATCATCTGATATACTCACTGTAGTTAGACCAAAATGTAATGGAATGTCTAGTTCATAGGCTGCTCTGTGGAGTACTTAAATGGGTTGGTTCTCTCACTTCAATTCTCACGCCAATGAAGTATTTGGCTTAATGCGTGTTTGGCTTCACATTGAAAACTACTAGAACCATGATTTAGCTCAATAGTGAGTCACCTAAGACGATGTTTTAGAAGATTCGTCATTTGAATCACCAATTTTGGTAAGTTCTTATTGACTCACAGTACAGCCAGATGGTAAGTCGTGTGTGTAAGTAAGACTTTCTTGTTTCAGTATAGATATAAGCTTTCTTTTTGTAGTATCATTATAGATCTAAGAAAGACTATTAAGGTAAGTTGAAAATGGTACATACAAGGCCATTAATAATCCTGTAGTACTCTGCACCACCCACAAGAACAATCTCTGCAATGACAGCAGCTATAAGGTTGATAGGGATGGGCTTTCCGAAGTAGTTCAATGTGTTGCCATCAAGAAGCAGAGCTCCGGTCTGCAATTGATCACACAAACAAAACAATGTCATCACCTCATTTCAGAACAATAATATGCAATGTTTGGTAAGTAGGAATATTCTTTCTAAAAAAGAAATACGAAATACATTTATCCCATTTTCTTTCTAGAAAAATACTTTTCCGTGTGCCAAACATTGTCTAAGAATCACAAAACTTCAACAAGGGCCATCTAAAGAGTGACTACACTGAACCAGATCTATTCTCAGCGGTATATATGTATAGAGAATAAGGCCAGCTCAAATAATCAAATTATGCAGTACAGCTTCAAAAGTTTGGCATGAACTCAATCAAGTCAATTGAAGTTACTTTGCCTATTATTGTGTGGCTAGCTAGTACTTTGCTTAGTCATTTGCTATGTATGAGGCAGATCAATTAATTTAGAGAGTTATAGAACCAAGAATTATAGAATAACTTGACACAGTACTGAGAGGTCATATAGATATATATATATCTATATAGGAGGAGCAAGCAAACCTTGAACCAAACAGCCTCAGGACCACAGTTTGCTCCAAACTTGTTGAAGGCCTCAGGAATGATGAATCCAGCAGCACCAAGCATAGCCCATCTGGCATGGATCAATTCATATGCCTGATATCTGCATTTAATTAAAGATCAAGAATCACACAACATTATCAATCAAGTAATGTAACACACACACACACACACACACACACACACACACACACACACACAAATGTATGTTCAACAATTCTGGTATGTGTATGTGTGTTTGACTAACATACTTGGCAAAGTCCTCTGGTTTCTTGCTGAGACCAAAGGGGTCATAACCATAGCTGCAAGCACACAGATTAACACAAATTAAGCAACACAAGTAAAATCTCACAATTATTCCTATAATTTGTTCCCTCAAAATTAAGCACGCAGATTAACCAGCTTGCTAAGCGGAGTCAACAAAAATGTTAATCAACATATAATTTGATGAGTTACATAGAATGTAAGAAAAGGACTGGGCTACAGCTTTTACAAGAGAAGACACATACTCTCCGGGAACCTCTCCGGTCAAGTACGCCGGGATCTCAGATCTGTCTAACAGACCCTCCGGCAAGAAGATTCTTCTGTCAGGACCTACGTAACCCACCATCACATGCAAACATTGATTAATTATCAAGTATAAACGAAAAGAAGGAGAAGGAGAAGGAGGGTAAAGACGGAGCTGAATACTCACCGTACCACTTGGCGAGTTCATCGTTGGCCGGAGAGACGGCGGCAGGCTTTGCCTTGGAAGGAGGAGGGGCTGCCTTCTTCCTAGAGAAAAGAGCGACGGTCTTGAAGGTGGCGGGACTGGACGGCGACGGTGGCGGCGCCGACCTGGTGGCGCCATTGAAGGTAAGAGGGTTTCCAAGCATCTCAGACACCACAAGAGAAGCCATGATCGGAAAGCCTCTTAGTCTCAGAGAATCTTCAAAAGTGAAGCTTCAGATGAAGGAGGAGGAATGTGGAAGGCAGATGGAGGAGTAGGAGATAATGGTATATGCATGGTTCTGGTGGATGTAGACGTGCCACGTAGGATAAATGTTCGTGGTATGTGATTGGCTGTTGAGCAAGAGTAATCCAATGCAGGGATTTGATAGGGTGGGCTCTGATACAAGGGAGATGATGATGGTGCTGACGTGGAATATTTTCTGAAGTGGTGGATTCTTCAGGCTTGGATTTGGACAACATGTTTTATCATCCTCAACCTTGTGATCTTTCGTTTCTGAATCATCTGTCCTGTTAATGATTTTTTGGTTTTTACTGATAAATTTAAGGAAGATCCATCCAAGGAAGTTTTGTTACGTTTCCGTGAAACAATCTCCACCACAAACAATATCCTGACTCAACACTAAAAAAAAAAACATTGTTGCCACATGAGATTATTGTTTGACGGGATATAACTTTAAATTCTTATATTTTATTTAAAAAAAATTATAATAAAACTCAAACAAAATACATAAACTTAAAATTATGTTTTTTCTTATTAATATCATAAAATGCATACAAATAAATACAAGAACATTTTTTTGGGGCAAAAAAAAAGAAGACCATGACTGGGCTTAAGCTCAACTTTTAGAAGGATTTATTGGGCCAAATCTTTTAAAACTCGTCACTTCAACATCTCTCTCTCTTTCACGCTCATATTCAAATTTGATGAAGATATAAAAACATTATTTTTAGTATTATCAACTTGGATTCAATTATTTTTATGCCTCTTTGGTGTGAGATGGAAATTAAAGAAATAATCCATATGAAATATGGAACAAAAAAATTATATATAAAAAAGACCCGTCACAATCTGATGAACAGGATAGGTATTATATTAGATCACTTATTATTAGTATTAATCAACAATACATTTTTATGTTTTTATTTTCTTATTTTACAAGAGATACACTTATTAGAATACAATGTCTAACATAAATCAATGATCCTTTGAGGTAGTGTTTGGATGGACAAATTTAAATTTAAATATTGAATTTAAAATTTTATATTTAAAATTTCACCTTTAAAATTGAAACATTTAAAAAGAAAAAAATGATAATAAAATCCTTCTAAAATGTATAAATAATAAATTAATTCTTTAAAATGCAATAATTCCTTTGAAGTTCTTAAAAAATTTTTTATTATTAATAAATTTATATAAATTATCAAATTACCTTTATTAAAAATAAATTATTCACAAATTTTATTTAAATATTCACACCTTTCTTTTTATATTTGTAACAATACAACAATAAATAAAAAATTTATATGTAAAGTTATAATTTACTATTACATTATTGTGAATATAATAAAAAATTGTGAATATTTAAATAAAACTTATAAATTATTTTTTTAAATATAATTTAATAATTTATATAAATTTATTAATGACAAAAAATTCTTAAAGACTTTTAAAGAAATTATGACATTTTGAGGGACTAAATTAACATTTATACATTTTAGATGAATTTTATTGTCATTTTTCCTTTAAAAAGATAGCATAAAAAAATTTCAAAATAAAAGAAAGACAAGCCAAGATTCAAAGTAAAAGTAGAAAATTGAAAATGATAAATTTATCCCTACTTTTCGATTAGTGTAAAGAAAACAAGAAAATTAGAAGGTTAGAGCAGATAAAATTTCAAATAACTAAGGTCAAAGAGGAATATGAAATCACAAATAAATTATAATAAAACATAGATTTGGTTTTATATATCGTGAAGAATTTGGTTCAAATTTAAATTCTCATGCATCTAAACATACCAAATTTTTTCAGAAACACGACTATTGAGGATTGGGGAATGTAAATTTCAACATTAACTGTAAATTTGAGTCACATTTTACTACTAAACCATGCCACTCATGCTATAATGTTGCAATGAATTACTATATCACTAGTTTATAAAATTATACATAAAATAATTCAGCAAATTCAATTCCATTCATCTTCTCCACTTCTCAATTTCTTTAGTTGTCGTTCTGATAAGCTTTTTGGAATTAATGACAAGTTCATCCACAAGTGCAGCAATATCGTCCCTGTCAACGGTCAGTAAAATAATTAAAAACCACCAAAAGTAAGAAGATAATGAGACGAAACTTGAAACCAATCATAGAAAATTTTGCACACAGACAACTCCGATGGTAATTAATCTGTGTGCAGTGCAGGTAAAATTCTTTAGAGGTCCTGATGCAGCGGTCTTTTTTTTTTTCCCCGTTTTCTTTTGTTGGAGGGTGGAGACTCAAACTGCAAAATTACAAAATCTTCTTACTGCCAAATTTTTCATGGAAGTAATCCCAACACTGGGACTTAGTCTGGTAGTCCCATGCAAATCTTTTACCAGACCGTTCTAGTATTTATTTCAGCATTTCCAACCCCCTCTCCTGGATGAGATTAACAGTTGCAAGCAACATTAAGGTTTAATAGCACCTTTGGTCCCTCTTGATTTGCTCAAGCTTGCAATAAGTGATCTTAGTTTCCAGCAATGCCATCATGCTAGTTTTCAAGTTGGATTAATTCAGTTCTGGTGTGTTGACTTTCAATGAAGTCAACATATCAATATACTACATAAAAGGAAAATAACTTGGCATTGTTTTTTACTATGTGTTTAGCACCGTCATTTACTATTTTTCCACAATATATGTCCTATCAAACAAATTAGAATATTTTATGCAGATGCATGGAGGACTTTTCCAGTCAAAGTACCAACATACTATATAAAATGAAAATAACTTGGCACTTTCTTTTACTGTATATTTACTATTCATTTACAAAGTTTTGGCATATCTATTATATCAAACAAATTTGGATATCTAGTGCAGATGCATGGGGGTTTTCCTAGTTTTATAACGTGAGGCACACTAGATTAACGTGTAACTGCCACTTATGTGCCAAGTCATAAAATAAAGACCATGTGATTACAAGTTGTGCTGCATCACTGACACATCAGAACATTCCTTCATGGAATTAACTGCCAATTACCAATTGGAAGTTACTAATTTTCTTCAATTTGAGAACTAGGAGAGTAATATTGTTGTAGTTAGAAAAGGACAAATCAGAAAACTTTGGTAAACTGGAGGGGCCAAAACAGCAATTAAGCCAGACACATTTTAGCATTCAGATTATCCTATCTGCCTCACAATATGATGATATATTTCAGCCCTACTAATAGAAAAACCTCAATGCTATGCTCCAATTAAACATTCCAGTCCTTAAAATAATTGACACAGTAAGAACCAGTGAATTTTTAACAGAAATGAGCACATAAAGTAATTTGGGGGCCAAAAAAAAAAAAAAGATACCAGAAAGGTAATAACAGAAATTAGATCAAATAGAAATCTTACATAGACATTTTTCTAGTTTCATGTATGACTTATTTACGGGTTTTTTCTTATCCACTTCTTTCTTTAACTTTATAACAAGAAATAACACACCAAACAAAAGACTGGCTTTAGCTTTAAAAATAACAGCATGAAGGAAAACAAATGGAAAAATCCACATAGTTATTGGTAGATGAATGCGTAAAGTTCTTAATAGAATGAGAGCATTTACATCAAGCATAAGAGAAAGAGAAAATGTACTTACTGAGAAGGAATGCTTCCAGAGTTACGAAAGAGATTTCCAACATTCGAGTACCTTTTGTTCTCATCTTGAGCAATTCCCCTCCCCATGCCATACCCAAATCCTAAACCAACCCCACAACCAGCACCGAATCCATAACCAATTTGCAATCCAGGTATTCCAGGACCAAGTCCCACCCCTGAAGTCAGAAACCCATTGTGCATAAGACTTGATGAAGCAATAAAAAGGGTGAAGAATATGTTCGAAATCTTATACAAAGCCTCAACCAGCAACATGAGCTCCATTTCCTTCCTATTATAAAGTACATGACGATGCCAATAAAAAGTTGCGGAACTATAAAAGGTCTGGAGCTAAAGTCACATGGAAAGAAGTTAAGAGAAAGGTGGAATAAGAATTATGGGAATGAACACATTTCTTCTCACTCCAACTTATATTATCACCAAGACTTCATCGGAATAGCTCAATCGCCAAAAGTTCTCAAAGATTCATAACAAAGCCCAATATAGTAAATTGTGCCCTGAATGTTAAGTTAAAACATTAAGGAAAGCTTCAAAAGACAAAACTCTTAAGCCATGTTTGTCGAAGTGATTAGATCATGAGTTTGATACATCACTCACATGCCAAACAATTCAAAATTTGCCTGAAACCAACACAACAAGGTCTCTTTCTGAACTAGAGACGGACAATAACACCAAAATTAGCAATTGTCAAAATTAAACAAAGTGTGGTTTGCAAACGTCTTGCATGGCCTTGATATTTGACATCTAGTCCCCTTTTAGACCTGATAAGCCCAAAATAAATTGAACAAAAAAGGAACAATACTGAACATATATAGAAAAGAGAAGGCCAAAAAAAACACGGCAACAAATAACTGTATAGAGCTATTCAGCATTTGGGGCGCATCCCCTCATTCACTCAGCATATGACCTAAACTGTCTTTCTGCATGGGTTTTACTGTGGCTTTGTATTCCCCCCCCCCCCCAAAAAAAAAAAAAAAGATTACAAGTCCAAATAATCATTCCATGTTTCTGTTAAAAGTAATAACGTCAATACTGGACACCAAAGTAGTATGAGATGCCTGGTCCTACTTTGAATAATATGTGCTGCCTTATTAGATAATTAAGTGGATTGGTTCTTCAACCTTAAAAATTAGAGGGTTCTCCAACAACTTTGATGCTCATAAATAACAACTAAATTGTACCATCTAATGTTAAGTTCATCCTTTTTGTCTCAGCTCATCATCCAGACTTCTATTTTCCAGCAGTCCCCATCATCCCCTGTATCCATTTTCTACATCATTATTTACCAAACAACCAAAATAAAGAGCACTGCAGCTACTGCAACTCTGACAAGATGGACATTGCTGCCTTTCAACCAGTAAACATGAGCCTCAATCTCTCTTTCTCTCTCTGGTGTGCAGACGAGGGGCACCTAAATTAACTCTGAATATAAGCTTTACCATAGTAGCATGTTTTTAAAAAACAAGATCTCGTAACTTACCAGCACCCCTTAAAAATGCACTCATCAAGAGCAAAGCAATTGCCAAATTGCAATCCAAAAATCATATTAGAAAAATAAAACTTGTTAAAAACATCGATCCCACTTTTATGCAGAACTATCGCTACTGCAGTCTTCAGCCATCTTTGTCATTACCAGGACAACAATTGACAAAAGCTAAAATGAGTATTGATATATACATCACTACATTCCTTAGGTCTTTCGTGATCCTAAACTGCTCAAACAACTGATCAAGTGCGACGAACAGAGAACAATTTAAAAAAAATTTAGGCGATTAAGGGGAGCATTTTGCGTGATAAAATGAGATGACATGCAAAAGAGTTTCCAAAAGTCCCGATTCTCTCGAAGATAAGAACAACGGCAGCGATATACACTCATCAGTCATCAGGCGATTCAATTCATATAACAAACAGATATTCAACAACCCGAACTCTGAACAAAAAGACAGGAGTTATCTTCGTGTAAATAATCTCACTAACAACAGCCGAGCGAAAACTCTAAAGGCAACCGATGAACTGACTTTTGAACATTGAAGTTCAAAATTTGGTGATAGATGGGATGCAGATATCAAGTGGAATAAGAAAGAAAGTAACAGATAAATCCGCAACGGGTATGGACGAGAAATGAAACCTGGGTTGAAGAAAACCAAGAAAATGTACCTCCGAGAAGGCCAACTCCGACGCCGAAGCCACAGCCGACGCCAATTCCGAAGGCGGGTCCCACCTTGCCGAAATTCCTGGACTTGACCACCGGAAGTTTCCACAGCAAACCCTTCTCGTCATTGTCGTCCCTTCCGTTCATCTTTCGGGGGAGCAAGGAGCCAGCAACAGTATCAATCAGGATTGGATCATGCGCAGGGGCCCTTTTGTGCAGTAATTGAAAAGTGGATAATCATAATCGTAGATTTTATCCGATGGCTCAAAAGAGAGAAATGTATAAACATTTTTCATTTGCAAAGCACACGATCATGTTTAACAAAATTTATTTTTTATTTTATATTTATTAAAATAAAAATTATAAAAATTATAAAATTTTTTAATAAATACTCCTTCCATTTAAAAATATAAGTCATTTTTAACTGAATTTCACTTCTAATAAAGTAATTACCTACTTTTAAATTAATCTTAACTTTTTATATTTACTTCTATTAAACACCCTATAATAAATATAAAGTCACTATCAATAGCGGCACTTAAAAAAAAAATAATGATTACACCTTGAAAGATTAAAAATACCTTATATTTTTAAACATTCAACTTCTTAAAAAATGTCTAGAGGGAGTATGCTAATAATTAATTTGAAGAGCACAGATTTAACTTGGACAGTCAATTGCATATTATTTTTTTAGTTTTTATAAATTAATTATTTAGATATATTATGAAAAGTTTAGATATAATATTAAAATTTTTATAATAATTTTTTTAATTTTTTATTTAATAAATACAATATGAAAAATAAAGAATAACATCTTGGTACTTTCTGAAAAATATTCTTTAAAAAAATTGTAAGTTAAAAATTTAAAATCTAAATATATTAGGATAGTTAATTTATAAAAATTATTACAATTTTAATATTAAATATGGATTAACTAAATTAAATATAAATATTAATGATAAAAACAACTTTATTAAAAATATAAAATATAATTGTGTGATTTGCAAATAAAAAAATCTTTTCATACACTTTTTTATTTTTAGCCATTGAATAAAAAGCATGATCATGATTACCCACCTCCTAGCCACTATACAAAAAGCCACTGTACATAATCCAAATCCGTATCAACCATCACTTTCCAATGCACAAGAAAGCTTCCCAGCCTTTGGAATGTTTTCTTTTTTAATGCCAAAAAATTAGATGTTTTTAATAAATTGTTAAATGGAGAAATTAATACGTGAATATTTATAATTTAGGCCGTTCATCCCACCTTATAGCATATTCTTAAAGATAATTTGATACTTTAAAATAATAAAAATAAAGTTTTATTAATTATATTTTTGTAATGTCACTTTTATTTACAATTTATAAGTCATTAGATTGACAGTAATACTTTATTTTAAATAAAATGCTTAAACTATCCTTAAAAAATGGAAGAGAAAGACAGAAAAATAATATTATACAATTTATTTACTTTTTTTTTATTCGATGATTATATTTAAAATTTTACTAATTTTTATTTATTGTACTTTTGTTGCATTGACATTAATAAAGTTGGTATAAATAACTTATAAAAAGAACTAGAAAAAGTATTATATAATAAAAATTAATCAATTTAAGAATATAAAAATGTGAAATGTATGTATTAAAATTATTTGTTTGATTAAGATAAGTGTTTAAATGATTGTTAAGTAATATTTATGCTAAAGAGGGGGCATAAATATTAACATTATGATGTAACAGTTAACTAAGGATTGGTTAGATGGAAGTAGAATCATAAAATTAGAAGGAAGGTTTGTATAACATATATTTTAATTTTAAAAGAAGTTTATATAAATTTTTAAAATAAATGGAGGTCTTTATAGTTTAAATTAAAAAGAGGAGATGTCAATGAATTTTACTTTTAAAAAAAATAATATTATAGAATATATTTAATAAATTTTATTAATATTCATAATCAAAATAAGACAAAGAAGGTACCATCTTACTAGTAACTCAGCTCTTTGAAGCATGGTTACCTGTATACTCCCCTACATTTTCCGATGATTACATATTTAATCTCCAAAATTGCTGATCGAGACTCTCAAGGACAGAAATCCAAGGTGTAATACTGATGATTTGATGAATATAAAATCAAGGGTTATAAGATAAATTTATTCCAAAAGCTTTATGCCAAATATAATTGGTATCTTTAATTTTCATTTGACACAATGTTATTTTAAAAATTTAAGAAATAATGTAATATCGTCTTATAATAACGTTTAATCAATATTAATTATTAGTTGAACAATTTCAAAAATTAGAAGTAATTTTGTCATATCCTAAACATTCAGGGCATACGACTGGACAAACTTGCCCTTGGCAATAGATTAGTCATTAAGGATGTTTTAAAGAAATTCCAATAGTGTGACAAGTAGAATTGTCTGCCGATAAAGTAAATATACACTTATACCTCATTTGATACAGAAAATTATTTTCAGTAGAAGTGAAAATAGAAGTGGAAGTGAAATTAGAAATGAAAGTGAAGTTTAAAAATATGTTCAGTACACTGAAAGAAGTTAGACAAAAATTTTATTTAATATTATATTTATTTTTAGAAAGATCAAAATAGCCCTAGAAAAAAGCCAAATTTGAACCATATAAGTTGTCATGGAAAACCACCAATTGAAAAAAAAAAAAAAGCCCATCACCGCAAAAGAAAAAAAAATGAGGAAGATGACTACCATACTCTATTAACAGAGGATTCAAAAACAAAAATAATAACAAGATCTAATTCCATAAAACCAAAACTAAAAGCCATAAAACACATTCAAACACAGATCTAGAATGTTGAAGAAGAAAATGGAGATCTGCAACCTAGGTCTGTGACGAAAGACTCGAATGAAATTTGCAGTGGAGTGGTTGTATAGTGAATAACTGGAGGGAGAGGGAGAGGATGATGAAGTTCAGACAGAGTTTGCAGTGGAGTAGTTGCACAATGAAGATCTAGAGGAAGAGGAAGAGGATGACGAAGTTTGGACGAAGTTTGAGGAAGAGGACAACATAGTTCATCACGCACGCACAGTGAAGATTGGCCACAAATTTTCTCACCAGTTGAGGAAGAGGACGGCAAAGTTCGAACATCAAAAGATTGGTCACTGTCGTGGACCGTTGCCGTCAAAGATCTGGATATGCCGTAGGACATGGTCCTCTATCTTTGCCGTGGTCCTTCGATTGTTTCCAAGAGAGAGGTTGTTAGGGCAAAATGGTCATCGAGTGGACTTTTAGAGAAGTGGAACCCAGTTCCTTGAGTCTGAATGTGCAAGCTAGTTCCATCAAATTTGATGGAAATCAATTCTCCAATAAGCCTCTTCATGCATACCAAACAAACAAAAATTGGGGTTTTACTTCCACTTCTACTTCCCTATCTCCAATTCCTTGTTACCAAATGTGATATTAGGTATTACAAATAGTAGAATGGTCTTACTGTCACATTCACAAAAATTTAATTACAGTTGCTTTAATTCATTCCTTGTAACTTGGGCTAGTATATCTTGTATACAAGCAGGTTTAAGAAAGTATGTATTTGTTTACTATTAAACTTGCATAAGCCTAGACCTACTCAAAGACATATCTACAGACTTTCTCATGAGGTAAATAAGAACAAGTCCACTTTGCTCAAATGCAACTTTTTTAAGTTACAAATTTTCAAATATGAAGGAGGAAACACTTTCAAGCATATAAGCACAGCAAAACTCTTCGTTGGTTTAATTTCTAAGCCATACTTCTATAGTGCACATAACTTGCTAAATCACTCAAGCGATTATACAGGATCATGCGTAAAATTGCAAATGGTGAGAAGCCAAACTTTTATAAACAAGTACAAGCTAAAATGATATAACTTGTATGTTTGAAAGTATTAAGATGAGTCTCAATGTACATAAATGAGACATATGAGTTAAAGATAATGCATTCATTTTAATGATAATGAAAGGTGATTAAGCTCTCAAAATTTTCACATTGAATTTAAGAGAATTAAATGACTTAACCTATAGTTTTTCATGTTCTCTTGATTCTTCATGCTCTTGAGGTTTTGTTTTTATCCATAATTTTTTATATATCTACACACATAACAAATACCTCTTCTCTTAATTTTGTAATCATCAAAACACATAATCCAACATAACATTTATTAATATTGAATAGTTATATAATTAACGGTTTGATCTATAATATGCAATCTGCTCTCTCATAAAATTTCAAACCCTATTCATCTCTCTATCAGAAGTTATGCTTAAAATTGCACTTGAAATTAATAATATCATTAGTGTTAATCATATTTTAATCCTCAAAATACCAAAAGTTAGAATTCGTTGTAGATTTTCTTCTAATAAAATTATGTATAGCCATTGTTACACCAACTATATGAATCACAAATGAATAACTAGGCATATGTCATAAGATTGCGAATATGTTTTTTTAAACCCCGAAAGTCCTTTCTATCATGGTCCTTAAACTTGAATGATAATAATTAAAAGCCTTATTATTGTTTACAAAATCCGGATGATCGCTTGAAATCTGGGAGGTAATACCTATAAGATCTGTAAGGACCTAAATATCCATATGGCATTAGATAGCTAGCATCCAGCAAGTAATATTTATCTACCAATACAAATAAAAATTACAGGAATTAATTAAATATTGAAACAAATTATTTTAAATTAGATAAATATGAAATATACCTTGGGGTGGATATGAAAAATTCATGTCCGGCCTTGTGAGTGCATAGACAAATAAACGAATATTATGTATAGTCCTTTCCCATCCAGCCATGACATAAGTAAAGCATATATCCCAATCACATATGGCCATTATATTTTGTGCTAGAATACTTTTTCTTCTAATATTTTTCCCTTGCTCTTCAATAATGACCATGCACGAGATATGTGTTACATCAATTTCTCTTGTGGCATTTTAAAGAATGGCCAATATCACGGGTCACCTAAAATTTTTGGATGTATATCTTGAAAAGTGCAATCTTTTAGTTGAATATATTCCTTTGCTAGCTTTTCACAAGTATGCAATACATTTTTAAAATGCTTGTGAACAGTCTCTACTGAATGTTGAAATCATTCTTGTGCTATCCTATTCCCTACCTAATGTCCAACAATATTTATAAACATACTGACCATTTTATGAACCCCTGTTCTTTTAGT